ATAATTTTACTATTTTGCCCGAGAATTATTCTAAAAATCCATTTTAATTAAAATAAACGTTTTCTTAGAAGATATGAATTAATTTTTATTAATTATATTTAGTCCACATGTACCTAAAATATATGAGGAAAAAATAACATTGTCCTGCTGACATCACAAATAATTTGTTAGACACTATCTACAGTATGACTGCCTAGTTGATCTAGTGACTAGCATGGGTGCAGAGGTCATAGGTTCGAGTCATGGGTCGGGCCAAGTATAGTTGTGGGTTCTTTCAAAAAAATCTTTTATGTGCTAAAATATCTCTGCACAGTTGGTAATTGGCATCCTAATTGAAATTGTTCAAGGGATCATTTCAACATTAAGAAAACCTTTGTGATAAGCCCAATCTACTCTTGTTAGTACGATTCTTGAATTCCAACCGTAATCACTACAGTTTCATTGCAAGTACAATTTTACGCAAGATTTTATCTGGTATTTTTTTGGATTGAGATAACTATAGCATCTTACTCGTTTATCTTATCTATTCTGTTATTTTAAAATTCTTTTTTTTCGGCAGTAGCGACATATAGTTATAAACAATTATTAGGTATTGTATGTAAAGGTATATGGCAATAAGTACCTAAGCTGCGAGTGGATCTCAGTGGCCTTACTACCATCTTTTTGAAGTTATACTTCTTTTAGAACGTTTGGAAAAAATTATGAGAGTTTTTTTTAGTTTACGATGTGCGCGCACAGCGACAGCCAAAAAGCGACATGATGGAGTTAGCTGGTATCTGTCTCTCCGGTTTCCGTGAAAATTCATGCTATAAGAATTCATGGTAGACCCACAGATATGCTTTCTTTAATGCTGAATGATTAACTTTGCTCTATTACCAAACGTTTGCAATTTTATTCATTTTCTGATGCATTTAAAGGTCAATCATAGTTTTAAACTATTACATTTTTCCTGTCATAATTTTATATGGTGACAAGTTTTTAATTTTAAAATTAAATTTTATAATTCGTACACGTTCTTCTTATAGTATATTTGAAAATCAAAAAGTATAGGGAGGCTGGTATATCTATACTTACATATAATAAAATTCTAACTAAGTCGAATTTGTACATTAAATGTTTTTTTGGAAAATTTTATTGAAATAGTCACTCAATACTTTCTTAGTATTACTTAGCGAATATTTGACATTTTAAATAAAACTATCTTTTCCTTACCCACTTGTGGGTAGGCTGTCTGTAACAACTATACCTCCAAGACATGTAACACCTCAGTCTCTCCCGTGACTATGGACGCTGTAAAGCATTCGAAATGTCGGGAACCAAAAATCAAAATAAATCCGCGAAATAATCCGAAAAGATAGTTTTATTTAAAATAGTCACTCATTATTATTGATACAAAGGCCAAATCTATAGTTTTCAGAAGTTTTGTCAACACAAACATTTTAATAAAACGACTAGTATTATAATAAACTTTTTATTAAAATTTTGTATTCACCTTCGTTTGTTATTCTATTCTTATGTACATATATACTAAAGACTTACCCTGGCTTCGGTCGTGTGCGTCCTACGTAATTTTTTTGAGCGGAACCCTTATTCTTTTTCTAAAATAAAAGCATCAGCTATTTGCTAGTGAAAGTCCCTTTAAAATCAGCCCAGCCGTTTTGGAGAACAGTCGGAACAAACAGACAGAAGGGCAAATTTTTAAGAAATTATATTTTTATTATAAGTACCGTATATGCTTTGCCGGTGAGTCCTACACCTCGTGCGTAAATGCATTTCCCAACGTTAAAAAAAATCTCCAGCATATTAAATGTAAATAATATCAGTGTTAAAACACACATATGTATATTATACATACATATGTTAACAAATAGAGCTAACCTACATTATCTAAACTATCTCGTAAAACAAGTGAAAAGATCTTCCGATTATTTTTTTATCTTATCACAGAGCTCGTTATCATTCAGTTTCTCGCGTACGACCACAGTGATATGTAGTGAATGTGGAAAACGTAATGGAAAACGATATAAGGTATGATTCATCTATACATATAATAAAATTGTAACTAAGCCGAATCTGTACATTAAATATTTTTTGGAAAATGTTACTGAAATAGAGATTATGATAGATACAGAGGCCGAATGTATAGTTTTTAGAATTTTTGTCTGTCTGTCTGTTATCGCATGACTGAAAAACCACTGGAGAGATTTGGATGAAATTTGGTATGATCGTAGCTGGTTATCCAGGTTAACATAAAGGATACTTTTTACCACGGGAAAATAACTCGTTTCTGAGAAAAAATACAAAAACTTCAATGCAAGAGTATATTATGTAAAACCTAGGAATTTGGTTTTTGATCATCTGAACGGGGGCGGAGCCGCGCGCAATGCTAGTACTAAATAAGCTCCGAAACTACTGAACCGATTTGGTAAGAAGATATTTTGATACCCTGGGAAGAAAAAAGGATAGTTTTAATCGCGAAAATCATCCCTTAAGGGGGTAAAAATGGGGATGAAAGTTTGTATGGGGAAGCAATCTAGGAGACGAACTCAAGCGTAGCGAGGGTGAGTCTTTAGTCTGTTATAAGTGTCAACGATGTTTTCCTCCTCTGAAAGTGAAAATTTTTGAAATATGTTTATCTTTTTAGTAAAATGTAAATATTGGATATTCATTTGCAAAGTCGATATAGTAGCGGTGTAATGAATTTTGGCCGATTATCCCGACATTAGTGTAGATTAAGCAAGGATAACGAGATTACTGGCTTACTCGTATCTCGGGAATTTGTTTTGAAATACATATCTATACATATAATAAAATTATAAGTGAGTCGAATTTGTACATTAAATATTTTTTTGGAAAATCTTATTGAAGTAGTTATTATTATCGATACAGAGGCTGAATCTATAGTTTTTATAATTTTTGTCTGTCTGTCTGGGAACGCATCACGCGACCATCACTGGACATATTTTGATGAAATTTGTTGTGATGATATCTGGTTATCCGGGTCAACACATAGGATACTTTTTACAGCGGGAAAATATCTCATCTCTGAGAAATTTACGCTAGTATAACTAACTATAAGAATAAATATAAAAATAATAACTACAAATCGTAATATAAGTATAACTAAGTAAATACCTAAATTGTGTATGAAAATATCTTTATTTAAGTGTTATATCTTATTTTCACTACAGTATCTTGCTGAATCTTGCGTAAGGACGGTAGAAAAGGTTAGCGGCGAGATAAGATTTAACTGAGATTGTTTCAAATGTACCTACGAGCAGTTTCTCTTTGCAAGATTTAAAATAAAAATAGTTATTGTGAATGCATCTTTGAAGACACACGCATATTTTTTTTGCGGAATCGTAAATTCGATATTTTGCGTAATTTTAAGGGTTTTCAATTTTCACGCTGGAACCCTAAATATTTCCAGATACATAGCCTATGTATAGACTTACAAACTTCTCTATCTTTTAGTGACAGTCCCATGACAATCGGTTAAGCCGTTCCAAAGATTGCCCCGGACAAACAGGTTGGTTGGTACTGGTATCATATAAATAACTGTATGTACATGAGAAAATGTAGTTATTTTGAAATCACACACACAGACACTTCAGTTTTGTTTATATATATGTATTTACTTACATATATATATATATATATATATATATATATATATATATATATATATATAAGTAAAGTAGATTAAAAAAATGAAAGAGAAAAATATTTTTTTTACATTTATTAGGGCTAAGATTTTTTTACGATAAACCTGTAAAATACACTGAAAAACGACGGTGAACATAAATTCGCCATATTAGATAAATTCTAGATTATTCATTACTAAAATAAAATTAATGACCTCCTGGCCGAATAATTATTTTATTTTTAAAGGAAAATTTACACAGAATCAAAATAATTTAATTTTTTTTATTTACCTACGAGTATATCGAGTCTCAATTGGCGAAGATATCGCTTCATATGTAACAAAAAAAGCAATACATACATACATATATATTTACATACAATAAAAAGCAAAAAACATATACAAAAATAAATAAAATTTCGATATTATGATTACTAGTAAAATAAATAGATTTTTTGCTAGAATTAAAAGTAATCTGTAATAATAAGGTGGAATTTCAAGTAGACATTAATTTATTATTATATTCTATGTTTATGACATATATTTGATTGATGACATTTTTCATGTAATATACGACAATTTATGAGAAGATTATTTAAAAACACCAGGTAGGTTATGGGAATAATGTATATCTTACTCAATATTATAAATGTGAAAGTTTAGATGTTTGGATGTTTGTTACTCAATCCCGCCAGAACGGCTGAACGGATCTGGATGACATTTAGCACAGACATAGGTTATAGTCTGGAATAGAACTTTTCCCGGAAAAAATGTACGGTTCCCGTGGGATAGATTTGTTTTTGTTTTTCATAATTGGAAAAAAGTTATTCTGAGGATAATTTATATGAAATTTAAATTTAAAAAAATAATTTATTCTCAGTCATGCTATTTATGAGAAAATGAGAAGAATGATAATGAAAAACTTTTATCTGATATTTAAAAAATTACCTACTCTTATAATACTGCTTTATTAGAAGTGAATATGTTTGAGTAGAAATTAATAATAATAATAATTTGGGACATTACACACAGCGCCATCTAGTTCCATGGTAAGCTACGAGGCTTGTGTTATGGATACCAGATAGTTGATACACTACACATATATACTTTTAATACATACATATTATAAATATGAACACCTATGACTGGAGTACAAACATTCGTCATCAAACAAATTAATGCCCCCAGCGGGACTCGAACCCGCGACCGCTGGCAACAGCAAGTAGGGTCGCTACAAACTGAGCCAAACGTGTCGTTAATATTTAAATTATAATAAAACGTTTCTTTTTATTTAGATCGTGTTAGCAATCCAAATGCAGGATCGAGGGGCATGTAAGGAGGTCGGTTTGGGTTGACGATGGCTGGCAGGATATGCCGCGTGCTGTGGAGGAGACGAGGGTTCGAGCCTGAGCAGCTGGAGAAAAGCAACTTGAGAAGGTTAGTCCTGTTATTATTACAAATCAAAGTTTAATAAAAATTTATTACATTATAAAACTCAGAGTAAGGAGGATGGGTGCCACTTGTCAAATGTTTTGTTTAATAACTGTGTCTGAAGTTGAATCAAATTAAACATTCCGAACGCTTTCTTGAACGATTGTCATTTCATGTTAATGATTTTTTTTATTTCTTTTGGGTAAAATAAAAAAAAATATGTTCGGACATTAACACACAGCGCCCGTCTAGTTCCATGGTAAGGCTTGTGTTGTGCGTACCAGAAAGTTGATATACTACACATATATAACTATAAATATTATTAATATAAACACCCATGACTGGAGTACAAACATTCGTGCATAAGATATAAATGAATGCCTCCAGCGGGACTCGAACTCGCGACCGCTTGCACAACAAGTAGGGTCACTACAAACTGAGCCGTCGTCGTCAAATTATACATACATATATGCCTAAAAGTTAAAGATAGACTAAGCGCATTAATAGACGCCCTAAACATATGTAGTACATTGCAAACGGAATTCAAGAACATATGTATAGGTTTGTGCATTATACATACAATAAACAGCTCGAATATAAATGACTTTTGAGAAAATGTCCAATTTTCATACATTTTCTTTAAGTTTTATAATAATAATAATAATAATAATCTTTATTTCAGACGTAAGTACATCCATATATTGTTAATTGGTTAGTAACAATTATACTTAATACTATGTTAGTATTGTTAGTATTTTTTGCATACAATATTACTTATTTATTCTTTATTTATCTTAGCCCAATGGCCAACTCCATCCAGTGTTTCTGAAAGGGGCAGTCCATTCTGGCCGAAATACACTTTAAAATACTGTTGTTGCTATCGCGTAGACGCTGCATCAAAGAAATAGCTTTCTTGCGCATAATGGCATGAAACCCATCTGTGTGTGCCTCTGCGAACATCTTTGAAGCACTACAACGCCACGACAGCCCCAACAGCATTCTAAAGGCATTATTATATTGCACACGCAAGGCGTTGTAGGCCCGGCGCGAATATGCCACCCACAAACTACAGGTATAAAAGGACTGACAGAACGCTTTAAATAGTGTTATTTTGACGTCCTTCGTACACCGAGCAAATCTGCGGACGACCATATTGCTCCTAACCGCCAACGCCCTGCGTTCCCTCTCAATGTCATCATCATCCCGTAGATCGCTAGTAATGATGTGACCAAGATACTTAAATTTCTCGACAACGCTCAGCGATACACCATTTAGACTCAAGAGCGGGACATGGCGTGGTTTTAATTTTTGACACTTAAACACAAGTATTTCACTCTTTTTTGAGTTGTATGCTAAACCATGCACCTTCGCGTAAGTCTCACAGGTAGCTATCAGTTTTCTTAAGCCGGCTATGGAAGGACTGAGCAAGACCATGTCGTCTGCGTAGCTTAGATTATTGACACAGGTGTCGTCAATGTGACAGCCAACATGTGTGTTACTCAATTCCTCCACGAGTTGGTCAATGTACAGGTTGAAAAGCAAGGGTGAACTCAAACCTCCCTGTCTCACTCCGCACTCCAATCTGTATTCATCCGACAGTGCACCGACCCATCTTACTTGATTTCTCTGGTTAGCATACCAGTATTTCAAAAGGGACGTATACTCCGCCGGTATACCTGCGTCCTTTAACTTGCTCCAAAGTACATCATATGAAACAAGATCAAATGCCTTAGATAAATCCAGGAAACACGCATATACCGGCGTACGCCTTGCAGTATAGTACTTGACAGTATGCTTCAGACTAAGAATAGCGCTTTCTGTCGACAGACCTGATCTAAAGCCGAATTGGGCATCTTGCAAAGAAACGTGCTTATATAGCCTGCCATTTATCACACTGTCAAGTATTTTAGCTGCGGTGGTAGCAAGCGAGATGGGGCGATAATTGCTCATATCGGACGTGTCACCCGTCTTGTTCTTAACAATTGGTACTACAATAGTCCGCATAAGCGGCTCCGGTAAATATGAATGATTTAGACACAGATTGAAAAACAGTGCGAGAACTCGAGGCAGATGAACTCCCGCATACTTAAAGTGTTCAATGCTGAGATTATCGTGACCAGGTGATTTTCCACGAACCATTTCTTTAATTATTTGTGCCACCATTTTTTCCGTAATCTTTTCACTCCCGCTCGCCGTGATAGTCTCAGCATCGTTCACCTTATTCAACGTGGAACCCAGAGGTGATCGCATAGTGAAGCGCGACCTAAATGCATCAGCAATTTCTTTATGGTCGGAAAGACCATCTACACTCACGGGTAAACTCGGCCTAGTTTTCATTTTATTAGTGCTCTTCCAGAAACTCTTAAAGTCTTTGGATAAGTGATCTGACGCGAGAATGTCCATTTGAAGTTGTTCCTGTCGGTTTTGACACCATTTTAATTTTGCCTTAAAATGTCTCCTAGACTCTACCATTTCATTGAAAACGTGACCACTAGTCGGTTGCCCCGCTAACATCCACATTTGAAATTTAAGCCGCGCCTCACAATGCGGTCCCGCGACGTGCCTATTCCATCCCGTAACATAGCCTCCCCTTTTTTTACATTTACCACTGTACGTGCGCCTAGCGGCCGCTGATAGTGTGTTAATAATATTGCTATACATTTTATCTAAGATAGCGTGATGTTCTGTTTTTTTACACAAATTATCGCAACATTCACTAAGTTCTTGTGGATTTATCATTGACAGATTAGAGTTACACAGGTCATGATATTGGTTTATCTGTTTAAAATTCCTCTCACCCCATATAACACAATTTAAAGAGCTCATTTTCGGCTGTACAATTTTCGGTTTTAAACTATTTATACTACATTCTAATACAATTGGATAATGGTCAGACCAATACATGTCATATTGTACTGATACGCTAATAACCGTTTGTAAAGCTGATTTAGTGACGATGCAGTGATCTAACCATCGTTTACACCCATGAACTTCACTACAAAAAGTAAATGTATTTCTACTACACATGTTTAAATCCACACATATCCAATTTTGATCAACACAAAAATCTAACATTTCATTGTAAAATAGCTCATTGGGATGAGCATTAAAGTCCCCTAATATATAGAAAGCTTCAATTCCATTACTTTCTTGTATTTCTATGACCGACCTGATTGTACTTAGACAATTACTAAATTCTAGTAGATTGTCATAAGAGTTAGTAGGCATATATACACTAAAAATAATTACCGATCTATTACTTACAGTTATTTTGATGGCACAAATACGCACGTTGTCACATTCTACCACTGACACTGTTTCAAACACACTTTTGCGCCACAATAACGCTACACCACCATACGGCCTTCCACTGATTAGGCCCACCCCTTACCCCCTTCCACTGATTAGGTTTTAAGACTATGCAATACACATACATATCGTGCTCTTTAATTTGATATGATGTTCTCGATTTAACTGATTAATGTCTAATTCGACCCTCAAATTTATTTAGTTACTAGCGATTTACCCTCGCTTAGCTCTGGTTGGTCCCTAGGTTGATTCCCCATAGAAATTTTCTTCCCGATTTCACCCCCTTAAGGATGATTTCCGAGATAAAAAGTATCCTATGTCCTTTCCAGGGTCTTAAACTATGTTCTTATCAAATTTCATCCAAAACTGAACCGATCAGTAGACCCAGAGATTACCCCCTACAATCTCACAAACTTACAAATTCACAAACTTTACCTCTTTATAATATTAATGTAGATTGACTCCATACATTCATTAGCTTACCAAACTGTAATATATCTATTATGTTACGTAGAAAAAGGTCCGTGACAGACACATTAAACCAATACGGATTTCATAACGAAATATTTTTTGTTAAGATGTCTCTCAGTATGGGACCTGACCGCTCTGGGCGTGGGCAGTTCGCTGGGCGTGGGCGTGTACGTGCTTGTAGGCTCAGTGGCGTTGCACTTGGCTGGACCCTCCATCGTGCTATCCTTTCTGATTGCTGCAGTCGCCGCGTTATTTGCAGGTATCGTATCCTTCTATCAAAATATCGGAAAAATTGTATGAGTGTGTATGTTTGTTACTCGCTGACGCTGAAACTGCTGGAGGGATTTAAATGGAATTTCGTATAGAGATAGACTATGAAGATATGATAATATATGATATTGGGAGTAACACATAGGCTATTTAACGCACCCAGAAACGCTTCCGCAGGAAATATGAAATCTACACTGTCGTCTTTTTTAAAATTGGTCCCTCTAACATGTTGCTAGCAGTTGATGATGATGAATAAATGGGTTTGATAATTTGTCCAAAATTATTGTCACCAATCAGCAACATAATAAAGTATGAATGTCAAAAAACACGCCAATGCCTTACGGAAGCCCGATTAAAACCCTTTCAGCCCACAGTTATAATAGTAGTAAAATGAAAATATTTTTTTTCTATAGGAATGTGTTACGCGGAATTCGGTTCGAGAGTGCCAAAAGCGGGATCAGCATACATTTACACGTACGTGACTGTGGGAGAATTCGTAGCGTTCATCATCGGCTGGAATATGATACTGGAGGCTGTGTTTGGTAATTTATATAATCTAGTTCTAATAAGTCCACCTAATGCAGTGGCAATATAGTATTGATGCTAGTTGAACTGTTCTAGGAATTAACTTAGTTAAAAAGTACTGCAAAGGATATTTTAGTTAATTGAATGTTTGGTCTAAGTAAAAGAAAAGCACCAGAAATGGTTCTCTGTTGGAGAGTGGAGAGTGAAATAAAATGTATTGTGCCACACTAAACTGTCTAACATTAATCCATAGTAATATATATATATATTAATTGTGAAAGTGACTCTGTCTGTTACCTTTTCAAACTTAAACCGATGAACAGATTTCGATGAAATTTGGCAAGGGCATAGATTACACCGTGGAATTAGATATACCCTTGAACGCCGCCCTGATTATCACGCGAGCGAACTGCGGGCCTAAACTAGTTTTGTTTAATCGCAGATGTTTTATGTTATCACAAAGCAGCTTCTATTAAAATATTTTGATCTTCACGTAGAGAAACTTTCTTGTTTTAGAAAGTTTTCGTAACAGACATAAATAACTATATTTATTTCAGGTACAGCAAGCGTAGCCCGCGGTCTCAGCATGTATGTCGACTCTGTGACCAATAGCTCGATGTCGGCGTTCTTCACGTCGTTTGCGCCGATTAATTCCATCCACTTTTCGCCATACTTCGACTTCTTTTCCTTTTTCGTGGTCTTGCTTTTAGGGGGTATGTAAGTTCGTCTTTTAATTTCTAATGAGATTATTTACAAAAACAATTATTAGCGATAATGTTACAAAGGAAAGTTTAACGATATTTGTTATTGATGACCGTTAAAATTAGAAAAATTAAACATAAATCAGCAACTCCGAAACCGCGAACAAAAGCTAGTATGAGAAATGTTTATAGTGTTCAAACGAAATATTGATGTGATTGATTGAAGAATGTATGTCAATACCAAATAATAATAGATGCTGTTTGTTTGTTTGTTTGCTTGTTTAGTGCTGCTAGCTGTCGGCGTGCGCGAGTCATCTGTCATCAACAACTTGTTCACCGCCGTCAATGTACTCGTCATCCTGTTTATTATATTCGCTGGGGCATTTAAAGGTACATATTTAAATACTTAATTTCATATGCGAATCATTTCCAACATGATTACCACTTGTCTTAACGGTGAAGGAATACATCGTGAGGAAACCTGCATGTCTGAGAGAACCTAGCAAGTTTTCAAAAAGACATGCTCAGTCTGCCAACCCGCACTTTGCTAGCGTGGTAGACTATGGCCTGATCCCCCTCGCATTGAAGGGAGGCCCGTGCCCAGCAGTGGGGCGTTAAAAAAAAGGGCTGAATACATTTAAATACTTTATTACGACTTACTATATACCTTACTTCTCCAGGTGCTAAATTTCATGCAAATGATTTGCACTTGAAAATATCAGAAGTGCGAGACCAGGGTTTCGAACCCGCTTCACTCGGTTACCCAAGCAAGCGCGTTACCAATGGACTACCATTTCTGCTTTGGTGCCTTTCAAATGAATCGTGTAAGTTAACTTAATCTAAGACAGAATAGAAATTCGTAAAACATCAAAAATTTCAGTGGAAACGAGCAACTGGAGTATTCCGGCAGCGGAGGTGCCAGAGAACCGCGGTAAGGGAGGGTTCTTCCCCTACGGCGTGTGGGGGATGCTGCGCGGTACGGCCGTCTGCTTCTATGGGTTCGTGGGCTTTGATAGCATCAGCTCTACTGGGGAAGAGGTTAGTAAATGCCAGGAAAAGACTATCTTTCGTGTGTTTATTTCGTTGTTAACTTTGGAGTTGGATTTAATATTTTTCGATAACAGTACGGTAACATTGAACAAAGCAATATCTATGTGCATGTTAATTTTTATAGTAATACCATCGTATAAAATGACATTATATCAAACACAAGAAATAATAAATTAAGCAGTATTTTAAACATATTCCAGGTGAGAGACCCGCGCCGTTCTATCCCCATCGCTATAATGAGCACGCTAGTGATAGTGTTCCTGGTGTACGCCGGCGTCGCCACCGTCGTCACCATGATGATGCCCTACTACCTGCAGGTGAGTAAGCTTTCATTCACGTAATCCATACTTAGATTATAAATACGAAAATAATTCTGTCTGTTACCTTTTCACGTTTAATCTGCTGAACCAATTTAGATGAGGTTTGGATTGGGATTGTTGGAGACCCTGGGAAGGACATATGATAGTTTTATCCCGGATATGCCTTAAGGGAATGCAAAGGAGTGTGAAGGTTATATGGGGAATCGATCATTTCTCAACTAAGATTTTTATTTTATTTTTTAATTTTTTAAAGTACTTAACTACTTTTCTATACCTGCATATGTATCATTATATTCTATTCATTCCATATTAACTGTTAAAACGTACCGCTAGTATTATCGCTAGTTTGTTAATATTTTGGTAATATTTTTATTTAGATTTTTGAACTCTTTTAATAACGAATTTTGGTTTAATTTTTTAACCTACATGATTTGCCTTCTATTTAACTGACTTTCAAAAAGGACGATGCTCTATGTTCGTCTGTATATATTTTTACGATATATTATGTAGCTAAGATTTAACAAAGAAATAATTTGAATCACTTAGCCGTCATCTAAAATGTTTTTACACAATATTTTTAGATTTTTTTATCATTTGTAACAATAAAATTAATTTATAGTATGGATATTATTTATTAATAATGTATTTAAACATTACTGGTCGACTTTAAAAAGGTTACCTATTCAATTTGGTTTTTTTGTCAATTTTTATAAGTTTTAAAAATGAACTAGCGACTCACCCTCGTTCTGCTCAAAAGGTATTCTATATGTTTACCCGGATATCTAGCTATGATCATACCAAATTTCATCCAAATCTGTCCAGTGGTTTTCTCGTGATGCGGTCACAGACAGACAGACAAAAATTCTAAAAACTATAGATTCGGTCTCTGTACCGTCAATAATGACTACTTCAATAAGATTTACCAAAAAATATTTAATGTACAGATTCGACTCAGTTAGAATTTTATTATATGTATAGATAAATCCATATCTAAAGAGTGGCCTAAAATAAATTTCAAAGAAAAAGTCCATCCTCAGGGTGGAATAATTAATTCTTTTTAGTTAGGAAGTTATTATTTGACATGGGTATATACAATTAATTTATATTTTGAAAACTATTAACAGGAGACTGTAGCGTCCATGGGGACCGCGTTCACGTACGTGGGATGGGACTGGGCGCAGTGGATAGTCACTGTCGGCGCCATCGTCGGCATATCTGCTAGGTATAAAAAATAAATATGTTGGAATTTTAACACACAGCACCATCTAGTTCCATAGATAGTTGATACACACATATATAACTTTAAATACATATATATTATAAATATAAACACCCATGACTGGACTACAAGCATTCATGCTCATCACACAAATGAATGCCCCCAGCGAGACTCGAACCCGCGACCGCTGGCACAACATGTAGGGTCACTTCAAACTAAGGCAAACGTGTCGTCTGGTTTAAATCTTTATATTTAATTGTACACTTTTATGATAGAAATATAAAATTAAGTATTTATGGTGTCGTGTAACAGGAAAATAATTATCATTAGGTACAATTATCTTCTAAGCTAGCAATAATTAGAGTTATGTATAGATGAACGTAATACACTATACAATATACATACATATTCATATGCGTCGGACTAGCACCGTTTACTACATTGCGTCTCGGGTTCGATTCCCGCATGATGTCACTTATTAGGTAATGGTGATGGGAAGAGATTCCAGTGACACATCATCAGCAAATAGAAATATATCTATCTCCACAAGTTATAAACTAAAATTATCATCCTAAAAAATTACAATTATATGCGCTAAATTGAGAACTATATTTTCGATATTTAAATAGAAACAAAAATTTACTAATAATTTGTATTTCTTGTGTTTCAGCCTATACGGAGCCATGTTTCCTCTGCCTCGGTTGCTTTACTCTATGGCGTCCGATGGCTTACTGTTCCACTGGTTAGCTAAAGTTATATCTACAAGGAAAACTCCGATGATTGCTACACTTTTTTCTGCAGTCATTATAGGTTTGTTTATGAAAAACTTACGATTAAGACTTCAGATAAAAAATACTCTATATCCTTATCTTTTAAATAATATCTGTGAACCTGTGAAAGTTGCGTTGTAATTGGTTTAGTTGTTTCGGAGATAAGTGAATGTAAACAGACAGACAAAAATGCAGTGGCTGATCTAGTTTTGATGTCTTACAAATAATCAAATTAAATATACAGACTAATTTCATTTATTCCCTGTAAAAGGTAAATCAGATTTTTCAATATCAATTAGATAACTCTTAAACTCAGGATTTGTAGCCGTACATGTAGCAACTAGACACTCTACAGGGTACATAATATAAATTAAAGTCCCCCGCCGACGAGTGGAGTGTGTTTGTTCGGGCTAATCTACTACTGAACAGATTTTCATACAGTTTTACCGAAAGATAGATGGATTGTCTAGGCTATCTGTAAAATAAGTTGGGAAAAATAATTAAAAATATAATATCATCTTTATATAGGTATAATAAAATTCTAAATGAATCGAATCTGTACCTACTTTAAATATATTTTGGAAAATCTTAATGAAACAGTCATTATTATCGATAGAGGCCGCATCTATATTTTTTAGAATTTTTGTGTCTGTCTGGGAACGCATCATGAGAAAACCAGTGGACAGATTTTGATGAAATTTGATATTGTGATATCTGGTTATCCGGGTCAATATATAGGATACTTTTTACCGCAGGAAAATATCTCATTTCTGAGAAATCTATAATGAACGTTAAACGTATCGTTAACATCAAACAGGACGAACCTGAGCGGAGCGAGGGTGAGTCGCTAATATATAAAATTTTGTATGTAGCAACAATCGCCGCTGTCCTGGAGCTCAACGAGTTGATCCTGATGATGTGTATCGGCACGCTGCTGTCCTACACCATCGTCGCGTCTTGTGTCATATTGCTAAGGTAAATGATTGCTTATAATTATTTTAAGTAGATACTAAAATAATACTTTTTTAGCATAAAAAAACCTATGACACATGCACAATAAATATCTTCCTGTACGAATTTTCTATCGAAATGGGCACAGTTTAATATTATAAAATAATAATGTATATTTTTTAAATCGTATGCCCAAAAATGTTAAGACTGGGACGTATTTTACAGTACACTGTACACCTACGTTCTACCGAATAAAAAGCACGTGAAGTGCGTCTACTTAGGGTGAATGCTGTCCCCCCCAACGTGCGTTCACCTTGTCGTGGTGGGGGGGCTCAGTAGTGCCCGGCAATCCAACCGGGCGCGAAGCCAAGAAACGCACAGGGAGGTGGCCCACTTCGGTGGGCGGTGGAAGGTGGCCCTCTTCGGAGGGCAGTGTACCATGCGGGTTGCTCCTGGTACTTCTCTGATAGCAGAGTGGACTTTGGAGCAACCCCGTGGTTGTTGTGGTCTGCTTCGGCAGACCTGCCGTCGGGGCGTCGTAGTTGAATGCGTAAGCGATCCTGCGACGCCCCATTAAGGCGATGGAAGGCTGTGTTGGGTTTTAGTGGGTAGTACTGGCTTTGCCGGTGAGTCCCACACCTCGTGCGTAAATGCATTTCCCAACGTTAAAAAAAAAGGGTGAATGCTGTAGCGATTGTAAGATTTTACACGAATATGATCGAATATTGTTAAAACGTCTTTATTTTTCCAATCAGTCTTCCAATTTTTCAAAGATGCAAAAACAACATTGTTAAACGTATATCCTTTTAGGTACCGCTCAAGTTCCATCTCAACGGACACTGGTCTTATGAAATTGATGCTGGGTATAGGACAGAAATCACCGACTAAAACCACATCATTTATCATCAACATTACGCTTGTGCTATTTAGTAAGTACTCAGACTCCTAATATACTCGTAAATGCGAAAGTTTGTATGTATGTTTGTTACCCCATCACGTTGTAACGGCTGGACATGCTACTGTTAGGCACCTCGGGACATAAGAAAATCGCTAGTTATATATAAATGTTATAAGCATAATCCAAACTTATATTAATATTATAAATGTGAAAGTGTGTTTGTTTGTTTGTCCTTCTTTCACGTCGAAACGGAGTGACGGATTGGCGTGATTTTTTGTGTGTGAGATAGTTGGAGGGCTGGAGAGTGACATATGCTACTTTAATTTTCATTTATCGCGGGAGATTATCTAATTCCTGCAGGAAAAACCGTTATAATACAATCCAATAAAATATTTATGATCAGAATTACTTGAAACTTGGTATTAATGCTCTTCAATAAAATTAAATAAATACGTGTCTTAGCATTTTTCGAAATTCACCCTATAAGAGGATAAAGTAGGGGATAAAAGTTTGTATGAAACTACCTTTTTAGATTTTTTTTGTAGTTCTAGCGCGACTCGCGAGCGAAGCCGCGGTTTCTGCTACTATGTATATGAGTTATGTTTAGTACCTGGGAGACCGTGCTCCGCTCGACATTTTATCGGAAAAGATTTAAAAATGTGTTTTTTCTGAAATATAATATGGATACCTGATAGATAGAAAGATAAACTTAAAAAGCAAAACCTTATATTTATACAAAATTTGATCCAAATCGTTACAGCCGTTTACGAGATACACGAAATAAATATATACAAGAATTGCTCATTTAATATTACAAGATAGTCTATTAGTCACTGTTATCTAAGACATGGTCAATTTGATTGATTTTCGTTTAGATTAAAAGTAATATTTTTTTAACAATATTTTCTTAATTTTCAGTATGCACATGTTTATCGAACGCCCTAATAGTCCACCATGTGGAACAGCCATTGATATATATGGGAGTGTTGCACGCTATAGCGTTTCTTTTAATCATTATCATGGCATTGCAGCCTCAAGTGAAAGAGGAATTAAGTTTTAAGGTATGGGACCTTTATTTATCTATACATATAATAAAATTGTAACTAAGCCGAATCTGTACATTAGATATTTTTTGGAAAATCTTATTGAAATAGACTTTATTATCGATACAGAGGCCGAATCTATAGTTTTTAGAATTTTTGTCTGTCTGTCTGAATTTTTGTTTGTTACCGCATCACAAAAAACCACAGGAAGGAATTTGATGAAATTTGGTATGGTGATAGCTGGTTGTCCGGATCAACATATAGGGTACTTTTTACCGGGGGAAAATATCTCATTTCTGAGAAAAAATACAAAAACTGCACTGTAAGAGTATACTAATATGTAAAACCTAAGAATTTGGTTTTCTGTCATCTGAACGCGGGCGGAGCCGCGGGCAATGCTAGTTTTCCTATATACTTTTATATTCAATGTTTAAATAACAGCTATTTGTTCTCTTGTCTCTCTAGCCCTTCCGAAGATTACCTTTGATGGTTTTAGTTTTCACTTTTCATCAAAGAGGCAAGGTTATACTAATATTACTTTACAAAGTTTTTTTTTCTACCAAGATCAAAACCAAACATATTTTGTTATTATGTTAGTTTTGTTTACGTTAATATTAACAAAGAAGATAACTATTAATAATCAATTTCACTAGTCTGTACTTAAGCTATGTATGTATGTATGTTTAAAACTTATAACATTATTCTGTATGCGCGGGTGATGCTAATATGCGATTACTATCACAGCACCTATATTTGATTGATGCAACTTAGTAGAACTGCGCGGGAGATGACATGGCGAGATGCAATACTATATATTAAGAAAGGTGCACAATACCTGCTGATGCTGTGTAGCTTATTTCCATGAGGATCGATCGTCCACCACACTTCAAGTTCACATTTACCTGTACATACACTAAATTGTCCATTTATTTCTTTTTCAGACTCCCCTAGTGCCTTTGGTGCCTTGCCTTAGTATTTACGTCAATATTCACTTGATGATTCTGATAAAATTACAAACATGGATTCGTGTTTTTATTTGGATTGCGATTGGTAAGTTATATTATACTAACGACCCATATACAAAAGTGATGCTTCTCTATACAAATTTTCATCCCCATTTTCACCCCTTTAAGGGATGATTACTGAGATAAAAACTTTACTCTATCCTTCCCAGGCTTTCAAAATACCTTCTTACCAAATTTCATCTAAATCGGTTCAGTAGTTTCCGAGCCTATTCAGTACAAGCAAACAAACAAATCTTTTCTTTTAATATTATTAGTACGTATCGATTTATTGACCGATTTGAAAATAGAAAATATTCAATTAAGATGTATATTTTGTATTTGTACGTTACGGGATTTTTTAAGTAAATGGGTTATAGGTACTACTCCCATATACATTTCAAGAAAAGTAATTACTTTTAAATTGATTTTGAAGTCTATGTACTTTTTTTTGATAATTGGTATTTATCGTTTAATTTGTATACTTTCGTATCTCTTTTAGGCATACCAGTTTACATCTTATGCGTGTGTTGTTACAAACGAAGGATGAATGATGATTCGGATGATATAAATAAGTCTATACAGGCAGCTGTTAATGGGAAGCCGCCAGTGCAAATATACGTGGTCTCACCAACGCCTCCTGATACTATCTCGCGTAGTAACAAAGGAGATGACAGTTTGCATCGAGATGATCGGATAAGAGAAATCAAACTGAAAGAAGATTTTGTAATTAGCAAAGTACCATTTGTAACAGAAGAGCTAATAATTCAACATGCGTATTATGAAGATAACGAAGAAAAAGAAGCAAAAATTATAGATTTACTAGATCAAGTATTGCAAGCTGAAGAAGATTCTTACGGCGAAATTGTTAGTTTGAAAGAACAAGAAGAGACCAAAAATGAAGATGTTATTCTTGAACAAGAAACTCATAGAAAGTCTCTAAGTGAATTGTCTGACGCCGGTTCGGATGCATCTATGGGTAATCAAGTATTATCTAAATATGATGTTATTGTGCAAGTACATAGAGAGGATTTGCCAAAAGTTAATGAAGAAGAAGAGAGAAGCGATAATGAAGTTAATATAGACGAAGAAAACGAAATGAACGATGTAGATGAAGATATTACCGCATTCAACGATAGCGATTCACGGACAGACGAATCTGGTTATTCAGATACTATTGACAAAATGGCGTTAAATGAATCTTTAGACGATTTAAAAGATGATGAACCTAATATTCCTCCTCCACCACCTCTGGACGAAAACTTTTTTACAAGTCCCACATTCAAAAAAGCATACACAATATCAGTAAGACCATCTAAAAGTAAAATTATGGATGATGAGGAGAGAAAACCCCGAGAAAGTGTTTTATCTAATAATTCCATCGACGATAGTCCAATGATTTTTGGAAGTGACAAACAAATGAACTTCATGTCAAAGCTAAACAACATATTTCAGAATAAAATAATATCGGGTAGTGAAGATGATACGCATCGGCGAAGATCTAACTCCACTGGAAACGTAGTAGATAACACAGATTTAGAAATTCTACCAAGGCCAGTGATGCTTTTAGAATTAAAAAAAGAAATTTTATCTAGAGAAACAGCTCAAAACTTACGTCACGTTGAAGTGGAAGATAGCAAAACATCAGATTCTGATGAGGAGCAAGATTCAAGTTTAAGTAGAGAAGATTTAAAGTTAAAACTAGAAAACATATTTGCAGCGGGAGGGCCGCAGCCAATGAAGAGTAGATTAATGAAATCGAACCCTCCAACACCTGAAGAAGCGTATCAAACTGACACATCCAGTACTGAGAGTATATCGAAATTGCCAAACATGGAGAAAAATGATACGTTGAAAAGACAAAAAACTAAATTTGGTGATGTTTTAAATTCACTTAAAATGACTTTGAACAAAGATGAGGTTGTGTAGTGTAAGTTATATGGAACTGGAGGGTCATCAAGTGGACTATATAGATTCGGGTGAATAAACCTAGTCTTATGTATAAGTGCCTTATTTAATCAAAATATTTTGTATTTAATTCGATAGTTACTATTAGCGTAGAAAAACAAATTAGTTATAGTTAGTAATATCGATATAGTACCTTCTGTAAGACTGAAGTCTGACATAAAAGAAATACATAAATCCACTATTATTTGACTTGTTTTCTATCGTATTTATAATATAGTCTCATTGATATATAAAAATATAGATACACATTTTGTAACAAATATCTCTCCAAAAAGTGGCGTCCTCATATGACGTTAAGTGAAAACAAAGAATATAATTCAAAACTCGATAGTTCTAATTGTCTGAAAACAAATTCAAACTTACGCACACTACACAAAGTACTTTTTTAAACAATACAACGTGAATTAATTTTGTCATTCGAAAAGCAATGAACAAAAGAGATTTGAAAAAAGAGCACAATTTTGAATTGTACGCTTTTTTGAAGAAACTTTTCAGACGCTAATTGTATATCTTGAGTATTTTATATATCAATCCATAGTCTACTAATCCATACAGTCGTCTAACGAAGGACCCTCGACATTGACGCGAATGACCACGATACCGAATGTCATAATATGACATTCGAGAAACGGTAGTTTTGTACTTTTAATTCCACATTAAAGCTGCTAAATTTCAAAATTACCGCTCAATCTCATTCGTGTCTTCCTCACAAAATCTGACACTGGCAGATTGGATTGCGACTGTTAACGCAACTTTAAGCCATAAAGAAAAAAAGGTTGACTAGAATATCAAACTTGCCACGATATGGCAATACGCTTCTTTAAAGAAATCGTTCACCATGAAAGTTGGTATTTTGTTGACAACGTCTACTGTATGGATTTTTAAACTGTGGACTGTGGTATAATTTGTAATGTAATTTTCTTAAGTAAAACAATTTATTTAGCCAAAAATCTTTATTTCATTGAATTTAAATAGAATATTTGATACAAAACACAGTCTACAATCAAGACGTTTCACTCTTATACAAATGCTTGACAAACTTAGGCAGTTCCATTTCCTTAGCACAGTTGAGCAGCAACTCATCAATTATTTGCTCGGACACGCTGCAAAAAAAAACATTTTATATCGAAACTAGAACCTACTTAAAAAAACTATATTTGAGCCTATTTGGGGTCCTTTAATGAAATATTGTTTATAAATTATAGGTAAACATTTAACAAAAATCGTAATTATTTATGTACTTTATGTATTGCTTCCCCATAAAAAGTTTCATCTCCATTTTCACCCCCTTATTGGATGATTTCCGGGATAAAAACTAACCTACGTCCTTCCCAGTGTCTCAAACTATTTTCCTACCGAATTTTATTTAAATCGGTTCAGTAGTTTCGGAGCTTACTCGGTACAAACAAACAAAGAAACCAACAAACAAAATCTTTCCTCTATATTATATTAGTATAGATTTAAATATACACATTTAACTTAATATCTGTAAATATACGAATCAAATATTCTAATACGAAGAGAACAATTTTATTTACCTGCCAATCTTCTCCCACGGTTTTCCTACAGCGCTGTTCGCGTACATTGAGCTCGTGAGCATGTGTTGGACAAATTTAGTCCTATATTGGAATAAATTGTCTTTCACACTCTCAGGAATATTGAATGACATGCGATATTTCTCAGCATCCTGCAGTTTTAGTGTTGGCTTCGGAAAAAGCGCTTTAGGCGTTTTCTTCTGGATTGTCTCTTCTAAGATCTGAAAGAGAATGCACATTTTAGTTTATTTTACGCGTTGAAATATAAACTTTTTGTAAAGAGGTTTGTCATTTTACAAGTGTTAGCAAAAACTATAACGATTACTATTATTAGATTTTTTTTTCTATATTAAATTTTTTCAATAGTTAATCTATTCTTTTTGGGAATGGATTTCGATTAAGGATCTTAGCGTTTTATATTTATAATTTTGGCAACATATATTTAATACATAGTTTATTTAGTCTCACATGAGTACAGTGCATATATTATACTGTATAGTGCAAAGTGCTACAAAAACTACTAATCTCCAACAAAATACCCGCAGTAACTGTGGCGTGCTTGGTTTCCTTGGGCTGCCTTCATTGACGCAAAGTAATTGCGCGTTCTTTGCTCCACTGATACGTTCATTTTTGCCACTTTAATATATGCAACAGAAAGGATATAATTTTGATTTTTTATTCTAACGTCAACAGTCGACGGTTCGATGGAGAATTTTAAGAAATTATATTTTAAGAAATTATATATTCCAGTTATTTACATAACATATATAATACAATAATTTCACAGCACCCGAACATATTTCGGTCCTTGGAACCAACCGTATGGTAGGGGAGCACAAGAGGGGATTTTTGTAGTTACTCAAGCGACAAAAAAAAGGTAGGGATACCACCAGGTGGTGGTATCCCTACCTAGTAAGGTGGGAACCTTATGTTAATCCGCCGCGCTTGAGTAACTGCAAAAATCGCTTCTTGGACTCCCCTACTATTATTAAACCTTCTTATATTTCCGCGGTAGACATTATTGTACACAATTGTGTTTAGATGTCACAACTCAGATAGCACCAATAATAGTATTGTACCAATCACAGTATTTCTTTTCTGATGTAATACCACCGAAATTCTAACTTCAGGATGCATTGTGATCTTCTTCAACAGAACAACGAAATAATCCTTATGACCCGATCAAGAACTCGAACCCAGGACCATATGAAGTATAGGCGTATAAACCGCTAAACTAATGTACATAAATGAATAAAAGCGAAATGATTTAATATATAGAAATATTATAAATAATAATAAATATGTTGGGACATTAACACACAGCACCATCTAGTTCCATGGTAAGCTACGAGGCTTGAGTTATGGATACCAGATATTTGATACACAACACAAATATAACCTTAAATACTTACATATTATAAATATAAATACCGATGCTGGAGTACAAACATACGAGCTCATCACACAAATGAATGTCCCCAGCGGGACTCGAACCCACGACCGCTGGCACAGCAAGTAATTTTGTGTCGTCAAGTATTATCTATTTAGTTTTCTCATAATGGAAAGAGCCATAAAGTACTTACATTTTAATATCACAGTTAAGTCATTTTAATATACCTACATATGTATGAATAAATTGGTACTTATCTAGTATGGTAAGAAATGAATTATATGCAAACTTTTTTCTAGTACATAGTAAGGTAATTGACAGCCTTCTGTAGTAAACTTACTGAACCATTATTAGTAAAATATATTAACATAAAATAAATCCTTAGAATAAACATTTAAAAATTATATCTATAATATTTTTTGTTGCTGTCTGTACGCCCCCTATACGAAATATCCATTAATAAATAATGGAAAAGTTTTTATATATACTTAGGGTAGGGAAACACCGAGGGTGTGCTGTCTAGACTACTATGACATCAAATCTCCATTTGTAGCTGTGGAAATGATAAAAGACGAGTGGCCGAGCTTAGACATCAAAAAATAAAATAAACCTATTCAAAATAAATGCATTTTTTTATAAATAACTAGTTACGTTTTACTTCTTATTCTAAAATAAAAGCGGCCTAAGTTACTTCTAACATCAGCTATTTGCCAGTGAAAGTCACGTCAAAATCAGTCCAGCCTTTTCGGAGATTATCCGGAACAAATAGATAGACAGACAAAAATTTTAAAAATTATATATTTATTATATAATTTCATATGCATTTAGTAAAAAGCTTTCATTTAGACATTACAAACTGAAACATCAATTTTATTTATCTGTATAGAGGTTAGTTAGTGTTATATATTATGTGTTTTTTTGTTAGTCCTGCTTGTATTTGGATGAACTTTTGTATACAGATCAACTATGAGATGGAGTAATAAACAAATTTTGATGAGATCAGATCATAGATAAGTATGATAGAACCGGTACCAAATAAATCTAGTGAGAAACGGGGTAATTGTAAGTGATTTGAGCAATGTGTTTTAGATTGAGACGACCTCGCCAGTTGATGTCATGCTGTTTTTATTTCGTTAGCTTTATGGCGTTACACTGAAAGATAATCTTCACTAGATTTATCTATACATATAATAAAATTGTAACTAAGTCGAATCTGTACATTAAATATTTTTTGGAAAATCTTATTGAAATAAACATTATTATCGATACAGAGTCCGAGTCTTTAGAATTTTTGTCTGTCTGTCTGTTACCGCATCACGAGAAAACCACTGGACAGATTTTGATGAAATTTGGCATAATGATGGCTGGTTATCCGGGTCAACATATAGGATACTTTTTACCGCGGGAAAATATCTCATGTCTGAGAAAAATACAAAAACTGCATTGTAAGAGTATACTAATATGTAAAACCTAAGAATTTGGTTTTTGGTCATCTGAACGCGGGCGGAGCCGCGGGCAATGCTAGTTTTATCTATACGAGTAAATAAATAGGTGAAGACAGAAAAGTTCAGTACCTTTTTCTCCTCTGTTTGTCAATCGATTTTCTTTTTTTTGTTTAGTAGTTACTGTCGAGCTTTAGTGTTCTCAATATATTTTTTTGGAAATAGTTTTTTTTATATAGATAGTTAAATTCTATATACATATGTTTTATCAAATTTTCAATAATAATTATGGCCGAATTTTACCACTCTGTAAACTAGTAATAAGAAGTGATGTTCTCCTCGCCGATTCCGGCCACGGCGGCCAGTCTCATTGAGACTAGCCAACTGCGCAGGAGATATTATAGTGCAGCGCGTGTACGCGCAGACACAACGTGCACTCTCTATTCCTGTCACTCACATACTCCGGTGGGACGACCACTCGACACGACCAGTGAGAGTGTCGGCGCAGGACCGACGCCTTTACGTGCTCTCATGGGGGTGAAACACCTCCGACTTCCCAACTCCGGGCTATTACTGAGACTTACTATACAGAAAGACTCAATAACTAAACTTGGCCCGACCCGGGACTCGAACCCAGGACCTCCGAGAGTGCAGCCGTACATGCTAGCCACTACACCACCGAGGCAGTAATAAGAAGTATACCATAATATGTTTATTAGATAATTCAAAGACGTTATATTAAAAAGTGAAAATTATTAACAACTCTACATATACATATAAGGTACTAATATACAACTAGAGTTTCAGTAACTTCAACTTATCTAATTCATATTAAGAACCAATAATTTTACTTTCTTATATATACGCGAATATTTGACATTTTAAATAAAACTATCTTTTCGGATTATTTCGCGGATTTATTTTGATTTTTGGTTCCCGACGTATCGAATGCTTTACAGCAATCATGGTCACGGGAGAGACTATTTTTATTTAAACCAATGATTTTATTTGCACAAGAATATCTTATCTGCCTGTTAGTACGAATTATCTTCGGAATAAGAAAGAGTAAGCTAATTTTTAAAGACTAGGAAATTCAAGTGAGAGATTCAATTAACTAATAATAGCATAACCCGATTTCAACAAGATTTTAACTGGCTAGTAGAGGATTCGAGAGAAATTGAAATCCATACTAATATTATAAATGTGAAAGTGTGTTTGTTTGTTGTCCTACTTTCACGTCGAAACGGATTGGCGTGATTTTTTGTGTGGAGATAGTTGGAGGGCTGGAGAGTGACATATGCTACTTTTTACAGCGGGAGATTGTCTCATTCCCACGGGAAAACACGTTATAATACATTATACAATCCAAAAAAAAAATTGAACTGCATTACTAGAAACTTGGTATTAATGCTCTTCAATAAAATTAAATAAACACATATTTTAGTATTCTTTGAAATTCATCCTATAAGGAGGTAAAATAGCGGATGAAAGTTTCAATGAATGTATTTTTAGCGCGAGCGAAGCCGCGGGTTCTGCTAGTACTCTATATTTTATTATCGTAGAACGACGATGAGGCTTGAGTAATAAAAGATTTCATTTTCATCTTAGAAAAACAACTATAACTTATTTCAATACAACATTATTCCCATTAATACGCATATATACATATAAATAGGCATTGCAGGAGAACCATCGATCCCCTTCGCCCTTGACCTTGACTTTGAACGAGCCGACACGGAAGATGTAGAGATAGGGAGATGGTACGGGGTGGGACTAGTAGTGTTACCATAATAAACATCAAATGACAGACTTAATACTTTTTACTTTAAGCGTGAATAAGTTTACGAATACTTTAGAATGAGGAAAAAATATAAATAACATAATATACTTTACAATTAAAGAGTGATTAGATATATTAGATAGTCTAATGTATCAGACGTCACGGGCTTGATTTTTAATGGGGTTTGTTATTAACAAGATAAATATCTAATACACCGCTCTAATTAAGAAAAAAATCAATAAGGTACGATATAGTGATGATGACGTTCTCCAGACCGATTACGGTCACGGGGGCCAATCTCATTGAGACTAGCCTGCGCAGGAGATATTATAGTGCTCAAGTGTACGCGCAGACACAACGTGCACTCTCTATTCCTGTCACTCTCATACTCCGGTGGGACGACTGCTCGACACGACCAGTGAGAGTTAGGGCGCAGGACCGACGGCTTTACGTGCTCTTCGAGGCACGGGGATGAAACACCGCCAACTTTCCAACTCCGGGCTGTTACTGAGGCTTACTATACAGAAAGACTCAATAACTAAACTTGGCCCGACCCGGGACTCGAACCCTGGACCTCCGAGTGTGCAGCCGTACATGCAAGCCACTACACCACCGATACAGTAGGCAGTGTATGAGGTATTATCTTCTTAGCCTGGCGGTAAATCTCACTGAGTATATGTGAGGCTTACTGCATAGGGACGATAACTTATTATGACTGGAGAGAGATTTAGGTAGAGGATGGATAGGTATAGTAGGTTGTGTAACATCTACTTTTCAACTTTAACGGTGCTATTGGTATTTTTTGACTTATAATCAACAAGACAGTGGATTGTCTTAGCCAGGGTATTAAGCACACGAAATGCAGAGAACAGATTGAAAAAAATAGTTGATCATTTTTCTAATGAATTGGTCACTCTACATAGCTTTGTAAAAGCATGTCTGTCTACAAATTACGAGAACAATAGGTGCAGAATTGCAAAACTACGAATGGTTAAAATAACTTTCCTCGTTTTTAAATGAAATC